AATAATGCCTGCAGCCAAGGACTCAGAGATATAGGTGGCCATGCACTCTCGTTCAGGCTTGGACAGGTTATACAGTCTGCTGGAAGATAGAGTGGCTCCTTGGAGGAGGTCGATGCAGCAGTCGTACGGTCGATGAGGTGGTAGTGAGGCTGCTCGGTCCTTACAGAAAACAGCTTGCAGGTCATGGTATTCAGGGGGTATTAGAGACAGGTCAGGAGGAGTGGGGGGTACGGGTGCCGGAGCCTGGGAGGACAGGTTAGCAGATAAGAGACAGTGAGAGAGGCAAAACAGACTTCAAGAAATTATCTGGATGGTCCTCCAATCAATGTGAGGGTTGTGTGTAGTGAGCCAGTCATGCCCCAGGACAATAGGTGATTGGGGTGAGGGAAAAACAAAAAATGACAATATTTCATGGTGGTTACCCGAAAACGTCAGCTTGATGGGTACTGTTTGGTGAGTAATAGTGGTTAAGGAGCTGCCGTCCAGCGATGAGACTCTGATGGGGTTGGACAGGGGGGTCGTGGGGATTTTAAGTTGGTCCACGATGTTCAGGTCAAGCAGGTTCCTCTCGCACCTGGAGTCCACAAGGGCTTTAGCGGGAACACTCTGCTGGTTAAAAAGGATGGAACAGGTTAACAGGCACCGAGAATTTTTGGAATCAAGGTTTCCACCCACCAATACTCCCAGTCCTATTGGTGGGCTCTTCCTTTTGGACGAACGCGGCAGTTGATCAGGAAATGTCCGGACAGACCACAATAAAGACACAGCCGAGAGGTGATCCGACGCTACTTCTCCTCTGGAGTCAGCCCGGCCCGGCCTATCTGCATGGGCTCCTCCTGGTTGATTGGGGCCGAGGCTGGGCTGACAGGTGGTTGCGAGTGGATCGTCCGGTTGGGCTGAGGTGGCTGGAAACACTGCTGGGAACGTGGTAGTCGAGTCGTAAACCTTTTCTCTATTCGTACCGCAAGACTGATTAGGTCCTCCAGGTTCTCCGGTTCAGGACAGTAGGCGAGCAGCTGGTCCTGAATTCTCTCACTGAGAGCCTGGGTGAATGCCCCCTTCAATGAGTCGGCATCCATACTGGAAGTAGTGGCCAAAGTCCTGAAATCTATGGCAAAATCCTGAACTGTTTGTTTATCCTGTTTAAGGTTCCAGATGGTCCTCGATATTTCTGCTGGGGTCTCTGTGTGGTCAAAAGTTAATTTAAATTCTGACAGAAAATCGCTCAGTGTACCTTTAATGAAAGACTGGTCTCTGCCTCTGGCCTCCGCCCATTGTAATGCACGGCCCCGGAGCAGACCAATTATGTAGGAAATTTTTATCTGATCAGTGCAAAATGCTTCAGGGTAGGATTCAAAATTTAACGTGCACTGAAACAGAAAACCCTGTACATGCTCAGGCTCACTGCTGTAGGTGACAGATGGGGAGGATTCTGGGACCCGGAAGTGCAGACGAGGTGGTGGAAGTGTTCGAACAGGGGTTTCTTGGGCAGCCGATGAAGGCGCGGGAGCGAAGGGAGGAGAGATCTTTTCGTGGAGTTGCCGGAGAAGGCTCTCCAGTTGGAACAAATGCTGATTGGTGTTTGCTTGCTCATCATGGAGGGACTGAATGGAGCTCTCGTGTTGAGCCATGGTTGTGGCGAGATCAGGCGGATGTGACTCAGCGAGTGGGTCAGTTGTTGGGGGCCAGCCTGACCTGAGACCAGCACCATACCACTGACTGTATCACAGACTCCATAGGGAGAATAGTATGACATCTCTTTTGTTTTAATACTTGTCTCATGACTTTTAAACACATTAGCAGGTGTTTCTCATCTGTTTATTTACAAACATCATTTTTCTGAATGTGAACCAAAAACCTTCTCAGTCAGACCGTTCTCTCTGCTAGCTGAATCTGTCTTTTCAGTGAGTGTTTTATTAACCTCTGACCCCATGACCCCCTCGCCTTCTCATGTGGTGGTGTTTTGTTTTTGTAGCTCAAAGACGATGGCGCAGCAAACTTTACCTGACCGTCAGTCAGCTCCATGCAGATGTTGGACGTCCATTCTGCTGCTGTAACCGCTGCCTCTGCAGGACCAAGCCATCTAAAGCAACTGGACCAGACAGAATCCCAGGGTGAGTTTCTTTCTTCTGCTGCCCCTTTCAGGATGACCTCACCTCACCATGGGTAGGTCAATCTGTTATTTGTGTTTTTTTAATTCCAGACTCCTTTTTGAAGCTCTGAAACTATCACCTCTCCACTGTCCCTCTCTTCTGGATTCACCTGACCTCCCTTTCATCACATTCCTGGACCACTGGACTCTTGGACACCAAGATCTCAGAACCCCTGGACCTATGGACTCTTTGTACACCTGGAACTTTGGACATTCTGAACCCTGAACACTTGGACATTGGGCACCCTGGACATCTCTCCTTTTCCCTAGACCAGCTATGAGGTTTTGAAATATTCATGCGTCTTCCATCCCCTTTCAGATAAATTCAAATAAGTCCACATCCTGCTGGGCTGAGGGAGAGACATTCCAGCAAAACCTTTAAATAAACGTTTAAAATGTGTTATCTTTCCTGAGTTTTCTGTTTTCTACACTTCAGTTCATAGTCAAACCTGAAAACTTGGCAATGAACTTGTTTTGAGTTTAAGTGTTGGAACTTTTCTCATTATAGTTTTACTTTGTCTAAATCTGAACCATGAGGTTCCTTTTTATCTATTGTCAATTTACAACAGCTACAACTGAACCAAGCTGCTTCACAAGGTGAGGAACAGATTAAAACACAAAAAAAAAACAATCTATAATTAGACAGACAAAAGTTACCATCAGACAATTATAACTCTTACATAGAAACACTTTTCAAAATGGCTGAAATGTACAGTAACAGAGAACATTTTATGTCTAAAGCAGAAAAATATGGACGTCACATCTTTGATGTTCCTCCCCTCACATTTACCCTTTGATGACCCTGTCGGTGGCGTTTTACCTACCTTCCTAGGTGATAACCTGCATGCAGATTATAAGGCTGGAGGCAACAGTGAAAAAACAAGTGTGCATTTTTAATTTACAAAAAGTGCTGCAAACAAAATAAGAAGCAAAACACAAATACATCTATAATTAAAATGTCTCCTTTTAACGTTAGTTGGAAGTGTGAAGATAAAACCCAAAGAACTATGAAGATGCTCTTTGTTTCCTTTTGCTTTGCATTCAGAACAATCATGCCAGATATTTTATGTGATAAACTGCTAGTCCTCCTTCAACCCCGTGTGTGAATATTCTCTTTATTTGACCCAGGAGCAGCACACCTGTGTGGAAACTAGCGCTGATGAGGAGTTAGACATACATATACGGTTGTAACTCTCTACAGCTCTGACAGAACCCTGCCCTCCTCTCCCAATGATTGGACAGGAATTCAGGAAACGTGATTGGTAGCTAAGACTTGTGCTCTCTTTGGTTCCACCCAAGTTCCTCCCACTGACGCTAGAATTGAGACAAAAAGATCCGTAACTGTAGATTTGAGGTTTGTACCTGTAGAATGAAATGTGTGTTTTGAGAGTTTTGATTTCAAACTTGTACATTGATTTTTTTATTTTGGAAGTCTGCTAGGTAAAAACCAAAAGTTTCATGTTTCTGAATGAACGTTTGATGTTACAAAATGAGTAGTAAATGTACAAAATGAAAATTTCCTGTTACAAAACAAGAAATACAAGTACAAATTGAGAATTACAAGTTAGAAAACTAAAGTTACAAGTTACGAATCCAAAGTTACATGTCATGAAACATGTTCCAAGTTACAAAACTTGGTACAAGTTATGCTGAATATTGTCCCAATCCTAGCTCCATAACAGCACAACCCCACAGCACGGCAAAGTACTGATAGCCAATGACTAAAGGGCTGTGTGTGTGTGAGTGAGTCGGTGTGTGTGTGTGTGTGCGTGCGTGCGTGCGTGCGTGTATGTGTGTGTGTATCTTCTCTGTCTTCTCAATCCCCAGTGAGTCGTGGTGGATGGCTGCTTATACTGAGCCAGGATCCTCTGGAGGCTTCTTCCTGTTAAAAGGGAGTTTTCCTCTCCACTGTCGCTGCATGCTTGCTTAGTATGAGGATTGCTGTAAAGTCACTGACACTAGTCAGTGACTTGATGCAACCTGCTGAGTTCCTTATATAGGAATCTTTTTACTGATTGGCTTAATGAACTGACCTGTATTGGGATGTTTACTGTGTGAAGTGCCTTGAGACGGCTCTTGCCGTGATTTGGCGCTATATAAATTAACTGAATTGGATTGAACTGCAGCAGAAGAAATTATTCTCCGTTTGGTTTGAGGCATTCATCCTCATTCTGTTGTTTCAACTGAACAAACAGCGATGGCCTGCAGCGCTTCAGATGGTTTCAGTCAACTGTACAAAGGAATAGCAACAAAAACTATTAAATATGTTTAAAATAAAACTCAATTAATGATTATTGCATTTTTGCATAACTTTCTCAATATTAAATAGACAAACACTATTTATTAATTGACTTGTGTTTTAGGGGAATAAAGACCAGTCATGGCTGATGCCCCTAACCTGAGTAAATTCTTCCCAAAGATGCTTATATTTTAATTTAAATGCTAAATATTTCATCTAAATTAAAAATAAATGCTTGTTCAGTTGCTCACCTTAAAAGAGATGGACTCAACTCCTCAAATGTCGCTTTGCAGTTGAATTGATCTAATTTCCTTTAATCTGATTTCTGTCAAACGAGTTATTGATGCTTCATTTGTTAAAGCTAGACACTGAACCTTTAGTCAGTTAGTTAAATGTTTGTCCAATATATCAAACTAAGAAACCTTAGTCAAGAATTAAATTGTTAAAAAAACAAATATTTGGAATAATTATTTTATTGTTATTTTTTTTATTTTATTTATTGTTGTATAATCATAAAAAAGTAAATTCATGATCATCACAATATTCTAATTAAAAATGTATTTTACTAATTGTTTTTGAGGTGAAAATGAATAAAAACTCAAACATCTCAACCTTTTGAGACCTTAAGTCCAGTTTAATCATTTATATTTTTGTTTAAATAACAATTACAAAGTCCCAACATGAACTTTATCCTGACTTTTTGAAGAATCTACATTTACAGTAATGTTTAAATACACTTCCTTTAAGTAACATTTATGACATTGTATTTTTATTGCAGTTGACATGGAAATAAACCAAAGTGATGACAGTATTGCTGTTTCCCATTTCCTAAAGCTTTTCCCATTAATGGTTCACAAACAGACAGAGGGATATTTTGGGCGATGGAAGGTCACAAAGCAGACAAACAAAGAGAGGTTCTGCCAGAACAGTTCTAACACAGTCCTGGTGCTACGGTGCTCATCTGTAGTCCCGTTGTCCTGCGATGTCTCGATGCTGGTGTCTTCTGTCACAACGTTTCCAAAAGATTGGATGAAACGCAGATTTCTTAGTGTGCAAGTCATAGTTCTGCTGCGCTCCGGTGTTGGAGTTATTCCATCAGAACGTTCGGCTGTGTGTTGTAGGTGGAAAAATGCAAAAGTTATGGAGGACGGTGACATGCAGATCTCTCACCACACATATTCACTCGTGTGCTTTGTGAGAATTGTGAGTCCTGTTAGTGACGGACATTATTAGAGAAACAGTTCACTAGTGGTAATAGGCCTTCAGTCACAAAAACAAACCCAGCATTGCTTTTCTTTACTGTTTTTTACGGCTCGTCTGCATTGTGCACAGATAAAAAAATAAATAACTCAGATCTGCATTGTTCACCAGAAGCTCATTGTGTCATTCCCCACCAGTTGCTGCTCCTCTTTGACTTCTTGTTTGTGTCCCACAGAGGTAAACACATCCCAGATATTAAAATGCAGAAGTACACATGTTACCAGAAACTACAGAAAGATATGCAAGTTGTGGGAGCCTATTATTCTTGACAGACCACAAAGGCAGAAGTTTAACCCACTTTACAGCTAACATCAGAGGCAACTACTACATCTAAATCTATATTATTCATATTAATGCTTTGGATCTCTAATGAATATTTGCAGAGACGAATGACAGAAACAAAAGAGAGGTAGGGTCTTGAGTCCACGTGCAGAAGATCTCTTGCCTAGTGAACTAGACCAAATTCTTGCTTTGCAAAGTTTGCAAAGTTGCAAATAAATAAAACATTTATTTAGTCTGGCTTGCCAGGCTAGAAGATCTCCTGATAGATGAATCACTGAGAGTCTTTTTAAACTGAAACATGCAAACAACTCACTGTTTTTAGGTGGAATTTAACACAAATGCTACGAACAATTACCATCTCACCTGTTGCAGATAGCTCTTTGAGCAAGCTGAGTTTATTTATGAATGGAATGATATGCTAACGGCTAGGAAGAAGGTCATAGCGTATTACTGGTGTCTAAAACATTCCTCAACTTTTTTCTGAACCACTTAAAGTTGGAATATGAAACATTTTTGATAAAAAGCATTATTTTTTAAAAATAATCCTTTCAGAGGTGTGCAGAATGAATGTACAGCTTCTCCTTTAAAAGCTATATTTAAAAAGATAAAAAATCTAATTTTGATTTTGTCGGGCATGACACTGGGTTTAGGTTTTCGTCTACCAGCCACTAGAGAGCGTTGTAGCACTAAAAAGTCAGCTCAGCAACGCGAGGTTGAGACTATATAAAATGGCAGACTTGACAAGTCAAGCAGCTTATTCTGAGCCCAGAAGATGTGCTAACGGTAAACACTGCTATGAAATAAACACATTAGTAGAAATGAGTCCTTACCCTGTACGGTTTGTCTCTGAACATAGTGCTGGAACATGTCAGCAGTGAACCAACATCCCAACGGCTGCAAAATTGGTCCTGTTGTTGCGATACCACCTCTGAACACCAGAGTTCGCCAGAGTCAGTGTTTCTTATTCAACCTTCAATCCTCACTAGACTTTACCAGGAGCTGGTGGCTAAAGTCTAGTTTATACTTCTCTGTCAGCTCAGGTGAGGAGTCGCTGACACGCATTGACATAGACGTTTTCTTTTCAGACTTCTCCATTGCCTGGGGGGTGTTACAAGGCAAATCCCCGCCTGGACAACAGAGGGCACATTGCTGTTCTGTCTCTTCAAAAAACTGCAAACAGAGAATTGTAAACTAAGCCTAGCTCCAGAGGTTATTGGGCGAGTGGTGAGGGGTATGCTAGACAGGTCGCCAGTTCATCTTGATTTTTCTGCCTATATAATTATTAATGTGAAACTGATGGTAACAGAAAGGTTTACGTAGCAGTTAGCATGACCTGCTTTGACATTTTAAGACTGAGTGGTTTTAAACAGCAACAATCTACCTTGACCTGCTTCAACTAGCTGTTATATAATCAAGATATAATATATACTACAATATATAATTATAAATAATCTCTGTTTCTTTAAAGCAGGGTTGCTCAAAGTTCTATCTAGCAAGTAAAGTAATAATTGTTGCCTAACCTTTCACCAGAAACTCCCTTTCTAAACATCTAAACTAGGTGATGAATCAATGCTGGAGAGGATGGAAACATGGATCTCTACACATTGACAAGGAATATTTCTGTCTTATATAACTGAAACACAGTTTGCATCCAGACCAGCCACTTTGGCTAGTGATGGCACATTGTTGCCTCCAGTTCACAGTGTGCTTCATCCTGATTCGCCCTTCTTTCCATCACTGTCAGTAAGGAGTGAAGAGGATTGGCCCGTGTGTGGTGCGGATGGGACCCGGGGCTGGCCTGAGCAAGCTGAGGGGTGTTCCCTGTAGGAGGTGGTGGTGGGGATGAGGATGGGAGGTCGGCCCAGGGGTGCGCAGCGCCAGTTGATTGGAAGATGCTGCTGCTGCTGCCATTGCTGCGGCAACAGCCAGAGGATTTGGTAAAAGTCCAGCCCCGAGGGTTTTTGGAAGTTCCTGGAAGGGAGAGTCAAGTAGGAGAAGAATGTGACGCAACTTTAAAAGAAGAGGACGGATTTTATCGGATATTAGTAAAACAAAGATGAGCATTTACCATAAATTCTGTGCGTTTCTTGTGTCGACTGAGAAGAGGATTAGGTTTACCTGCAACTCCATCCCGATGCCGTCTGCTTGATATGTGCTGCAACGTAAAAGTAGCAAAACAACTAATATGACTTTCCCCACAAAACGATTCACTCCTCTTTGGTTGGTGGGGTTTTCACCTGTTTAAGCTGCAGCTCAGAGTTGACTCTGACGTTGCATATCTCACAGTGGAAGGTGCGTTCCTGAGTGTTCGGGTCAGAAGACACCTCTCCTCCCTGCTCAGCGCCTGGTTTGGGACCCAAACGTGGGTACGCTTTGATAGGCCCAAGTCCACTTTGAGCCTCCAGGATAGTTTTGTGTTTGGTACCTGGGAACAACCAAATGAGCATTTATGACTTCCAACCTCATATCTTTGTGGCTTTTTTTTCTTGTCACATTAAAAACAGCATTTGGACAAAATTACCCCACATTCTTTGTCCAGTTGGTCAAAAGTATTTGGAAAGAGGTCCAGAAGGTCATATTTAATTGTAATGAAAGCTTGAAAGTTACATTTTTACTGAGTACATGAAAAACTACGAACGGTGTCTCCTATGAGCAGTCCTTGATGCATATTCATTACTGCTACTGAAACAAAAGTGATAAGATAAGAGACTGTTTTAAACCCATGTGGGCACCAAGTACTTCAAGGTGTGAAAAATAGCTGTTCCATTATACCTCGTGAGTTTCAAGAGACACAACGAATCTAGAGCAGGGCTATTCAATTCTGGGTCTCGGGGGTTGGTATATCCTCGCCTGGCAAGCCAGGCTAAATATCTGAGAAAGCTTCTGCCCAATGGTCTAACCTTTGTTGTGTGCCTCTAGCTGTGAGAGGGAATTAACTGCTACTTTGCAGAGAGAGCAGTAGAGAAGCTTCTTTGCTTTGTCCTCCTCTGACTCTCCTGACGGAGGACTGGGTGCTGGGGACAGAGTGTCTGCATCTGCAGAGGGGTTGCTGAGGGCTGCAGAGGGGGGTGGAGAGGGACACGGCAAAGGCGTGTTGACAGGCGGCAGGAGGGGACACCCTGGGTCTGTTGAGCTCAGAGTTGAAAGGTGAGTAGGGGTCAAAGGTGACTCTTTATTGCTTGTGGAGGATTGAGTGTCATCTGTGGGAAGCATAAAGATTTCTGGTGAGTAAACAAGTTGTTGCAAATGAACAGCCTGGATGATTGACTGATTTGTTGTCATGTGACAGATGAGGACTCACAAATGATTTGTTTTTGTTTGTAAGTTTGTAGAATTTTCAAAAACAAAATAACACAAAACAAACTTATTGTTGTTCTGTCATTTCATCTGTGTCCCACTCTTCACCCACAAATGTGTGTGTTATGCATCAACAAGATGCTCACCCTGTTGGTTGTAATTAGGATCAGGACTGGATGGCAGGGGGCCTGGTGGAGAGGGCGAAGCAGATGGAGGAGGGGGCTGTTTGTCTCCATCTTGGAGACGTGATGTCTTGGTTGTTTCGATGCCTTTCACCCTTCGGGCATGGCGGTTCCCTTTATAGTGAGCCTCTGCCTGACTCTGGAAAAACAGGAAGACATTTCACAAGTTTGCATTAACATTGATTTTGATCAAGTTCTTCTTTCTCTTTTAATGGCTCCATATTGGTCATGTTTATTCCATTAATGCTTGCATCCCATCCAATAAGATAAGAGCCACTGGTGACAAATGCACTAGCAACTCAACAGACATCTACTACAAGGTTCAAAGTTTCAGGCTACTTTTTCTTTTGCTAACAACTGCTGATCATTTCAGAATCCCCAACACCCGATCCAAACCAAGGACACACAATACACACGAGGTAAGTCAAGGTTAGAAATTGATCATTTCATGAAAGAAGCAAATGTTAAACAAAAGGAGACAATCAAGAATCAGGGTACTGAAGAAGTACAATTTTGCCCCAGGGTAAAGTTTAAACTCATGTTTCTTAATGCTGGTCCTAAGGTGTTAGACGACCTGAAAGTACATTTATGTACTGATTATTCTAAGTGTGAAGGTACAATGTTAAGAGCTCTTTGTTTACTAGGAAAAATATAAATAAATATTTTATAATATAGTTTTCATCCATCTATCCATCCATTTTCATCCGCTTATCCGGAGTTGGGTCGCGGGGGCAGTAGCCTAAGGCGAGAGACCCATACTTCCGTGGGAATCCCAAGGCATTCCCTGGCCAGGTAAGTGACACAGTCCCTCCACCGTGTCCTGGGTCTACCTTTAGGCCTCCTCCCGGTTGGACGTGCGTGGAAAACCTCACCAGGGAGGCATCCAGGAGGCATCCTGACCAGATGCCCGAGCCACCTCAACTGGTTCCTCTCGATATGGAGGAGCAGCGGGTCTACTCCGAGCCCCTCCCGGATGACTGAGTTTCTCACCCTATCTCTAAGGGAGAGCCCAGCCACTCTTCGGAGAAAACTCATTTCGGCCGCTTGTATCCGCGATCTCGTTCTTTCGGTCACTACCCAAAGCTCATGAACATAGGTGAGGGTAGGAACGTAGGTTGACCGGTAAATCGAGAGCTTCGCCTTCTGACTCAGCTTTCTCTTCACCACGACACACCGGTACAACGCCCGCTAGGGGTTGCATGACTTAAGTTTTTTTAAAGTCGACAGTCAAGTGTAGCGTTGTGGTTTATGCTCTTTTATGAAAGAGGAACCATTCTACATGATAATTTGTGATATTAATTTTATTAAATTAATAACCAAATTGTATAGTTTTAAGAAGACTCAAAGGTTGTTTTCATCGATAAACTGTCGATCATATCCGTGGGTCTGTGTTTCAGTTCAATGAAGAAACAAGTTTGACAATTAAAAGTTTTAATTCTTCAAATTAAACTAATGATTTTGAAATTGACAAACAGGAAATAACAATCAACATTGGCAACGTTGTGGGACAATCTTTAACAGTTGATATGCTGTTCTTGCTCAAATAGACCTTGTGATGAGTGTGTGAAGATTGAATATGAGGTGAGCTTAGTGCGGGTGTGCATCTGATTTTGCTTCAGGAAGAAACAGGTGTCTGAGTGAAAAGTGATGGTTTGGATAAACTTAGGTTTAGTTGGAAAAGATGCATCAAAACGCTATCTGCCGTGTTCTGCCTCACCGAAAATCGGACCCTCCTTTAGATCCGGGACGCCAGAGGATGGTGCACGTTCATCCAGGTGACACCAGCGGCTGGCAGAGGAGACGGAGGTGTCCGCGGCCCGGTCCAGAGATGCCCTCGGTACACATCGATGGAAAAGCGTTTTGTCAATGCGTTTGTTAAGTTTAGGTCACTCAGAAATCAAAAGACTCGGTAATGAGTCTGCGTTAGAAGTTGCGATTCAGCTGTCCTGTCTGGCTTGGCAGGAACAGCGTGAGGGGGGGGGGGAACGAGCCGACCGGCTCTGTCTCCCCTTCGGTTTCTTCAGATCCTCTCTCTTTCATTGTCAAGCACGAACTGAATCATAAGCCTGAAACTTACCAAAAGCCTTTCTCTTCTCAAAGCAAACGTGTGCGTCAGCAAATGTGTTTTGGAGTTTACTGTGAGAATCTGTGTGTGGGTGTGTTTGAGTGTGTGTGTGAAGGTCGGTAACAACATCCTCACACATTATCTAATTAAGTATGGATTCATTAATCCATTCTAATTATCCAAAGCATAAGAATCATTCATTTGATTAAACACATTTATAATGAGCAAAATGATAATGATTATTCTTTAACATTAAAATCAAGAAAGGAAGTTTTAAGACTTGTTATGTTATGACTACTTGTCCATGAGAACTCCTTCTTCTGGTACTGCAGGTGTTCAGATGTTATGGTTTCCAGCAGACTCTTGCAGACTTCATGTCTGCAAAGGTCTCAATCTGTGGGTGAAAGTTCTCAGCGACCCAGCTCTTTGACCCAGCCGAGTCAAATGACCTTTTGCACAGAAAACCCATATTTCCTCACATTACACAAGTAATGAAAATGGAGTCGACTTAGACTAGTCGTTGATGACGTCATACACCTGAAGCGGCGGCGGGGGGTAGGTTCGCTGGAGTTTTTGACAATTAAAATTGCGCCCACATTTTCTAAGTTAACACATCTCTTTTAACAACGGTACTTTCTGCATCCTACTTCAGCCCTCTCCCCCCTCCCCCTGCGCAGCAGCCGCAATCTCACTGATGCGCCTGCAGCCTTTCCTGCTGCTGTAAACATTAAAATAATTATTTCATTTTCTGTTCCTCACTTCTGATTACCTTCAATGGTGTCTGTTTGTTGCAACCACCAGGTACAAAAACAAACTTGTTTTATTTGACTATTTTTCTGTTCTGTTTATTATCTTCCTGCATCTCCTCTCAATCCTAAAGAAAAACTGCTACCTGGGTTCATATATATTCACCTTATGAGTTACCTTTGAACTGCAGTTCTAAGATTTATCGACCAGAAAACAGCGGAGTGCCGCTGCTCGCCGGCCAACTACAACGGGACCGTTTTTGCTGTGGAGTTCGTGCCGGAGCGGAGCGGAGATAGTGGAATTTTGGGGGGGTGTCACCGGAGAACAAAACAGGTGATGCGCCTCGCTCCGCAGCAGCGTAACGCATCAGGCACAAATAACAGACAGAAGACTGAAATGAGCCGACATGAACGATCGTGTGTTTAATTTGTTTTTGAGGTGGTGACACCTGATTTGGCGGTGCTCAGGACGCAGATGTCTGGAGCGCATCAACGTTCAGAGCTTTGCATGCGCAAACTGGTTAAGATTAGGATGGGGGTGAGGGGAAGGTAAAATTGCAAGAGGGAAAAGGTCACAGTTTGGTTAAATGTCCGTTTTACCGCCGGTGTCGACGCTCTGGCACAGCGCGTTGCCTCCGCCTCCCAAAGCAGGGGCTCATCACCTGCTGTCTTTTCCGAGGACTGCATCGTGTCAGTCATTATCAAGTGACAGCGACTAGTCGATGACAGGCATAAAAAGTCACTACAGAGCCGTGAAGTCGACTAGTCGACTAGTTCATACAACGCCTAACGCCCACATCACTGCAGATGCAGCATCAATCCGCCTGTCAATCTTGTGCTCCAGCTTTCCCTCACTTGTGAACAAGACCCGAAGATCCTTAAAGTCCTCCACTTGAGGCAGGACCTCATCCCTGACCCAGAGAAGGCATTCTACCCTTTTCCGACTCTGGACCATGGTCTCTCAGATTTAGTTTTCAAGGATTTTATTTCTATTATATTTGACCAATGACTAGTTGATTAAAGGTGCATTATGTAGAAATGAAGTGAAAATGACACCCTGTGGTAAATTTTGGTTACAGCAACCATTTTAAAACAACTCTGGAGCTTTTTGCCGGCAGTCATCAAATTACAATTGTCGGTGCTGCAGCATTAGCTCGCAGGAGACACAGCGAACCCACCACTCACTGATGGTAAACAGTAGTTACGTCCCTCCTTCTTTGTTTTGAAGGAAGAAAAACTGACAATCCCCGCAGCCAGCTGGATATGAAACATGTTTCAGTATAACCTTTCCTCCAAAATGTCTGAAACATTAGATTCTTTTGGGATTTTCTCCCTGTAAAGTTTTCACTATATTATTACATACTTCACCTTTAACAGTGAACCAATTTTTAAAGAAAATGCTGTTTTAGATTGGAAGAGCAAGGGTTGAAACTCTTGATGAGGTAACCTTGATGATTAAAAGAAGCTGGAAAACATCTAAAACATGCAGGACAGTGACGCCAAAGGAACAGGGCTGTCACCAATGACCCTAAGGCACTTGTATAGCACCTCTCAGAGTAAGGACTCCAAGCGCCTTACACTACAGTGTATCATTCATCCATTCACACACTGATGGTGATGAGCTACGATGTAGCCACAGCTACCCTGGGGGTGCACTGACAGAGGTGAGGCTGTCGAGCACTGGCGCCACCAGTCCCTCCGACCACCACCAGCAGGCAAGGTGGGTTAAGTGTCTTGTCCAAGGACACAACAGCAGAATTCTCTGTCCGGAGCCAGCATCGAACCTGCAACCTTCTGATTACTTGACAACCCGTTCAACTTGTTGAGCTACTGCTTCCCCTAAACGCCCCTGCCAGAGCAATGAGACCGATCGTTAAAAATTAGAAACAACAAGAGAACTCACAGCTGAGTTTACAAGAACAGTAATGGTACCGCCTCAAAAACAAGCCTGTTCCCACTGGAGTAAAACTGGGTATTTTATTTCCTTAGAGTGAAGGCAGGAAACAGGTAATTAGAGTGGACAAGAAGCAGGTGAAAAACAATCACAAGAAATCATCTGAAAACTCTCCAACAGTATAAAACTTCCCAGAGGGTGGGGCAAACCGAGAACCAGCACCAGAACAGGTCAAACAGTAATCAGATCTGTTCGGATGTCTAGAAATCATACAGGTTATCATTTTGGTGAATATTGATTGCAGATGAGACAGAAAAGTGTTGGGCAATGATTAAACAGAAAAGGTGGAATGTATGAACCAAATCAACATGACATTAGGCGGGGTTTGCATGGTTTTCATGGATGTTTCAGACTTCAGAAGTAATCTTATCGAA